GTTTGAGAAGAACGGAAGTTTTATATGGACGGACTAAGGAAGAGGAAGGGAGAGGATAGAGAGAGAGGGGGGATGGGGAGGGGAGGGCGGGAAGGATCAGCTCTCTTCTCGTCGTAAATAGAATTTATCGTTAGTCAAACCACGTGACGGCCATTCGAAATTTCCTTTCCTGCGTTTAAACGTTTCTCTTCGAGTCCCAATGATATCCGATAACGATCTAATATCGAAGTCTACTTCCGTTCCGCCAATATGATGCCAAATGTATCCGGTATTTTTCTAGAATTCTTAGATCCTCGATCGTAACGATGATAAAGCGCGTGATCAAAATCCTCGAGAACGTTTAACGAAACTCGTTTCCGTTCTGTCAAACGGATTAGATCGGCTATACATATTAATAAGTTAATGATCGTTCTCATTGTTTTAAAAGAAAACGATAATCGAAAAAATATGGACATATAGACTTGTCGGACGAATGAATCGTTTTCTCGAACTACCCGTTATATTTTCGCGTGTCTCCGACGAGAAACACGCGAATTTCGAGCCGTAAATCGAGAAACGCGCTGACTTATCTCGTACAAATCGGTGAAAGAGCCAAACAACAAGCGGTAGCTTCGTCCTTCTCGGTAACGCGCCTTCACCGAAAATTTATCGTTACACGAAATTAAAAAAGAGTTCCACTGAGATAAGGCTTAACAAATACGGTTTTTAGTGCACTAGGAGGGTGTTCATTTATTTTCGTCCACTTGACTCGCAACGAGCGATAAACTTTGTCTCTCTCTCTCTCTCTCTCTCTCTCTCTCTCTCTGTCTTTTTGTCGCGTGCATAACCACTTCACCTGTCGTGTCTTTCCTTTGGCCGAAAACTTTTCGCCTTATCTTCGAGTTCTTCCGCAAAAATAAAACATAGCCATGTCTCCTTGGCGACTTTATCGTTCTGCGATCGTTGTGAAATCGTGCGGCGAACGAGTACGCTCGCTTTTAATTCTCTCGCGTAAGTAGGTTTCCCACGAGTACGTAAGAAACTTTGTCGAGAATTTCGCATTGCGTTTCCTTTAATCTTTCCTATGAAAAGGTAGAACGTACGAAGAATCATATAATTTGCAAAGGATTTTGATGAAATTTTCAAGTATGAATTTTCGATATTATATTAAATAGATAGACATAGAGAATCGTAGATCCAAAGGAAGAAAACGTGTATGATTCACGAGCAAGTCAAATCTATCGTCGGTAGGACCGTGGTGGTTTCGTAAACTCCGCAAGTGGATCGGATCCCGAGTATCTTCGTGTGGTCGACGCTTGGTACCGAGAATAGATCAAAAGCTTCTCCGTTGCGACCAAATTGCCGGTCGCAGATGCACGCATAATCTCCGGTACCATTCGTCTATATTTATTGCCACGTAGTAGACTCAACGTCGCCGTGGTTTAATGATGAAAAGACCGGAGAGTCCGAACCGCTGTTTCTCATACGGACGACATTTACATGAAGCGCCCACTAAAACTTGAAACGCGAACGTATTATTGTCCTTTGGAAAGACTCTCGCATGTTGGACTTACTTCGATATTAATTAAGGGAAAGCTGAAACTCGTGGTTTCTATTAACGAACATCGAGATATTCAATGTGGAAGAACTTTGATGTTTTGCTTAGTTACTATGGATTCCATGAAATATCATATCTCATGCATGTAGTTTATACTATCTATCATATTGTATATCCAAATATTAGTTATAAATTAATTGAAATATAATTATATTTTTTTTATACATATTATCAACGATCTACTAAACAAAGTCGAAGCGATAATTACATCGTCAGATTTTTTTTCTACTTCGTTGAGAGTATAGTATCATCGTTAAGATTTATCATCCTTTTCTTCTATCTTTAACTTCGTAATATTCTAAATAAGAAGAAACAACAGAGTTGTTATCTTCCATGCATTTTCAAGAGAGTGCGATATAAGAGAGATAAGAAGAGGTATACGGTTGAAGGTAAGAGAGAAAGATACGTAGAAAGTTCACGACCGAAACTCACTTACGAAAGGAGACGATTTTTCTTCGAACCCATGAGGACGGAAGAGAGGCGCGCGATCGAGAGAGAGAGATAGGGACCACCTTCCTAACTCAAACAGGATTGTAATTAGCTGTCATGGCCAATTCGCCAATAACGTCGGCGTATTTATGCGCCTACTTTGGCGCCCGATAAAAACTCGTTTTTGAAACGGTTAATCGCGCGCTTGCCCATACTGCCAGAGTAACCCCCCGTCCCCGCCCTTTTACGCGGTTATTGCACTTTATATATTCCGTTCGAATAGTCGAGCTCCTTTTTGCGTGCCTACTTAAATCCCTGCGTTTCTTTATCTCTCTCTCTCTCTCTCTCTCTCTCTCTCTCTCTCTCTCTCTATATATATATATATATATATATATATATATATATCTTCTCCTTCTATACTTCTTATTTTTCTTCCCTTCTTTCTTCTCCTTCTCCTTCTCCTTCTCCTTCTTCTTCCTTTTCTCTTTTCTTCCTCCTTTTAGGTCTTCACTCTTAACACGCCTTGCCTCCAATCTCGGCGGTTTTATGCGGCGACGCGCGTCGGAGCGAAGCTTCGCGATAATAACGTCCCGCGGAACTGCTCGGTGAAATTATACCGGAGAATATTTGATGGCGTAACACCGGCAATAAATCGCAAGGATATAATGTATAATTTGTAATAGCGTAAAAGGAAGATCCCGCGTTATAAGCGGCATAACGTGTGTGAATTTCGTTCGCATCGTATTCCTGCGACATTTTTATATACAGGTTATAAGTTTTATCGTGGTCAATTACAACGTTCGATAACTACGTTCAATCTTTCTTTTGTCTTTCTCTTTTTTTCTTTTTCTTTTCTTTTCAAATTAGTCATGACGTTTAGTCCGTTGACGTTTATTGGCCTACTATAATATTATATTTAAAGACGTTTTGCCTTTCAATAGGACGACATGTTACATGTAAATATCTTCTCGTATGTTACACTTAATTACATTCGACTCGATGCACCCTCGGAATTTAATTACTAAATCGATCGATCGGTACGTAGTTAACGTCGCGACAAATGACAAATCGTCGTGTTCGAAAAGGAGAATAGTTAATCTCTCATCTACGTACGGTCCGTTCCATTGGCTCCGAACTTGACTCCATTCGCCGTTCTTCTCACTTTATTCGCGATTATATCGGCGTGAGTCTCGCGAACACCTTTGGATTGCTATCGAGTGCTAACGAAGTCGATACGACGGAGCTTGTTTCTCCATGGGACAGGACAATAACCGGTGTGTACGCGGCTGTTCATCCGTCCATCCGTCCATCTATCCATCCATCCATCCATCCATCCATCCATCCATCCATCCATACATCCATCTATCTATCCATCTATCCATCCATCCATCCATCCATCCATCCGTCCATCAGTCCGTCCATCCGTCTGTTCGTTGACCGGTGCGACGTCGACCAATAGGAGGACGCGTCTGCCGTCCGGTCGGGGCAGCAGGTGCGAGCATGACTCGTCGTCGGTATACCTGTGTGCGTACAACCACGTATCTACGTATAATTACGCCTTCGCTTACCTACATACGCATTACATACTCCCAACTCTCGGACTATCCTCTTCGTCTAGCTACCAATTCTAGCTTTACACGAAGCGCAACGTATACAACGTCCTGTGCTTTTCGTCCGCTTCCATGCCTACGCGTCTACTATGTATATATATATATATATATATATATATATATATATATATATATACTACGTATAATACTCTGCCGTTCCTATAAGTTGAATGTTCTCTACCACGTGTATAATAGATACATGGTTCTTCCTCTTGGATCTATTAACAAAGACACCGTGTATTTTACACCCTAACATCGATCCGTTGTAATGATGATCATCATTGTTACTCTTTTTTGCTACTCTTTTCCTTTCTTTTTTCTTTCCTTCTTTCTTTCTTTCTTTCTTTCTTTCTTTTTTCTTTCTTTTCTATCTTTCTTTTTATATCTCTTTGCTTCTTTGTCTTCTTTTTCTTTTCATTTTCTTTTCATCTATATATTTCATGGTAGTTACAAGAGATTGGATCGCGGGAAACAATAGAAGATTAAACTTACCTGAGTTTACTTTATTCCTCTTTCTCTCTCTCTCTCTCTCTCTCTCTTTCTCTTTCTTTCTTTCTCTCTGTTTGATTTACGAATCGTTTCCGAGCGACGATTTCCGCGCCTCGCTCATTCGCAATTAGCGCAAGAATAGCGAAGTCTCTTTGCTGACCGAAAAATATTCTGTGAGAAAAATTATTAATTACGTTGGCAGAGTAAAAGAGAGAGAGAGAGAGAGAGAGAGAGAGAGAGAGAGAGGGAAAGAGAGGAGTGAAAGAGAGGAGGGACTGAGAGATCGCGTCTTTCTTCGGTCGGACATTGTGCGGTGAGCGGAGTTATTCATGGCATGCATATATCATTTATGCATGACACGTAGAGGTATGGCCGCATATGCGATTGCGGGTATACCACGCGATATATACGTAGCCTCGCGTGTGCGCACGCGCGCTCTCTCGCTTTGCCCGATCCTCTCGCCATCGCTAATATCTTTTATCCGTAATTCGATTTGAGAGATGGACGCTCGTAAAATATCTAATATTCGTCGAATTGTTCTTGGCCACGCGAATCTTCGTCATTTGTTTACGATCTTCTCCTTCATCTTCTTCCTTCTCCTAATTCTCTATATATCGCTGAATCTTCTTTAATGTTGCGAGAGATATCGTTCCTTCGATCGATCTTTCTTCTTTTCCAAAAATTCTTTTCGAATATCTGATAAAATTTGCTTTGAGAAATTTTTCTTTATATATATATATATATATATATATATATATATATATATATATATATTATGATTTATGGCTTAGAATCATGTACTGAGAGGACGATTAGGTATGCTTGGTCAAATTACAATCCACCTTTAGGAGATCCACATAGGTATGTACTTACAT